ATATCTGATGGAGCAAAGCTGCCCCTGCTGCAGTAAGAATCTGAAGGCACTAGTCTCTTGCACGCTCTTGTACAAAAATTGCAATTTTTTATGCAAGTAATATACAACAAAACTGCCATCACATACACATCTGCCTGAGACTGTACTGCCTATGGTGGCAAACACAAAGTAAGGGTGGAGCTGTGCAAAGACAGTGAGGTAAGATTCAGAAAGTTTCCTTCTAATTTTGGCTCAGCAAGGGCTTTCAAGCACAAGTTTCGTTTAGTTCTATTCACTCTCCAACTGCAGGTAGGGCACTTCCTTGAGGAAATGAAGAGCTAATAATTTTATTTATTTTTTTTAATGAAGACCACAAGCCTTGCCTTCCTGAAAAAGTTCTAGTGAGCTCTGATGATCATGCTTGTGCAGCTTTCCAAATTATTGTTGACTATATGACTGCACATAGCAGAGATGTAGGGCTGTAGAGTGATGACACGAAAGACTCAGAAGCTTTAGGGTATTTAATCCCAGGAAGTTTTTCCAGGTTGATGCCTCCTACTGGACACCGAACTGAAAGGCTGTTGGGAAAACATCAGTAACTGAATAACCTTATACGTTTTTCTAGGTATTACCAAGATGCTGGTATAAATAATACAAGCTTAGTAACACTATAATAAAATAAATTTTATGATTTTTTTCCCCAACTTTTTTGTATTAATCCTGTAAAGATATCTAGGAAGGCAAAGAGGGGTTCCTCTTACAGCTTTGAGCAGTAAAGTGACTGTACCTTATATGTTTCTATGTATAAATTCCTGGACATCCTGCATTCCTCTGCACTGTCTCAGATGATGTCTTTCTTTCATACGCCTTGTGTGTGGTCTTCTGTATGCATAGCGTAGAAGTTGCTGCTCACTAGACAGATGAGGAAAACTTTCATAATTCCATGCTAACTGAACAACTTTAGGCGCTGCCTAGTCCTAAGGCAAAACTAATTAATGAGTCTTAACTGCAGAATTTGCTCAGACCCCCAGGTTCAGTCATACTGTGGAAAGCTCCTGCTGTGATGATGCATTAGAGTTGCAGATATGATAAAATGAGGCATGCAATACTTTATTATAATCCTTTATTTCCTGGTACAGAATACTACCCTCAGACTATGTTTTCAGTGTTAACAATCAATCTGTTTCAAATAGAAATGCAGTTTTCCCTTCCAGCAGGTTTCCTTCCCATTCCCATTTTGTACAATGGGTAAATAACAACACAGAAAAGAATGCTTGTCAACTTCAATTTTGCCTAGCATGTAAATGTTATAAAAATGAACTTTAAAAATTGCTAGACAAACCAAAATATTTCCACAATTTAAATACAAATAACACAACAGACAAATCACAAAGAAACACTGGTAGCCTGGAGAACCAACACATTCTAACATAAGAATCCTGAAAGAGATCAGAACGAAAAGTCAAACCGACTATATGCAGGCTTTTGTTGTCTAAATTAAAAGAAATGCAAACACACAGCATGGATTGGATCCTTCCATTAAGCTGCTCTTCATAAAAATATAGTGCCCAAGTCCTTCTGAGTCTTTCAGATTTCAGTACTCATGTGGAGATTCAGGGATAACAATGAAAGCCACGAGTTGGTTCATCTACTGCAGGGGCAGACCTTCAGCCAGTACAAACGGACTGTACTGTGAAAATACCCCTCTGAGTTAGGAGTGAAGGTATTTTCATCAAGATTTTTTTGCCTCATGCCTGTCTGTATTTAAGAGATATGTGGATGTTGTCCTTAATAATGTGTTTTAAGTAGTACTCTAACTAGTCAGTCAGTTGGACTTGATGATCTTTGTAATTCCTTTCCAAACAGTCCTACTCTATTCTGTTCTCTTCTATCCTACTCTGTTCTGTTCTTTGTCAAATATCTTGCTGGTGAAGTAATAAAAAAAAGCTCTTCATTCAATTTAATAAGCTAAATTTTGAGAGTGTACTGAGAATTTCTCTTGTTGAGTGAATTGAAATTATATGCTTCCATTGTCATTGTTCTTTCTGACCCTAGTAGTGGTGGTAGTTATCTTGCAGAAAAAAGCGGTGTTGTTTGTGCCACTGACACTGAGGGAGCCCAGTGACAGCGACTATAAATCAATTTACAACCAATTTAAAAGGAGGGGACAAACCCCATGAACATTAATTAAAAACTGCTTCAGATTACTATTCTTTTGTGATTAACTAAAGCAGACTTTGATCTCCTTCGAGATATTAATGTCAGCATGATGAAATTCATCATTTCTAACAAACTGACCAGTGTTAGTGACTATTTTTGCAGTATGTCACATGTGTGGCACTATACAGCAAGTGGAAGGTCACTCAATTAAACCTTGCTCCAAGGGTGCAAGTGGATATGATCACACGCAATGCGAAACCAATACATACTGATCAGTGTGGCACTGCTTCACTGAACAGATGATTCTTGAAGATGGAGTGGAAGCAGTTTGGTACAAAAGGCCTCCTTTGCTTTCTCCTGTGGTGGTAAACTGGGACTGGACTATAGCGCTTCGTGGTTAGTGTGAAGCAGCAGCACCTCCATCCAGTGCCAACCAGGCTCAAATAGCAAAACCTTCAGTGAAGTCCAGACAACGATGCATCCCCTCTTGATGTGCCCAGAGTATCCCAGTGCTGAGGTTAAGTCAGAGCCCCTGGCTTTGAATCACAGCTCGGCATGGCCAGTTGTTCTCACAGAACCAGTTATTTTAGGATTTATTATAAGCTTCTACAAAACAGAGATGAATCTGTTTTACCCCCCAAGTATTTCTATAGCTGTGGCCAGCCCCAGACTCAGTGCAGTTAGGATCACTCAAGCAGAACCACTCTAACTCAAGCAGAGAATCTCTGACAGGAGATCATGTGAAACCATTAGGCAGGAAACATGGAATGAACTCAAACAGAGAGGGAATAGAAACAGATGACAGACAATGCAAGGAAATCAGACGTGTCACTGTAGTGACTTTAAGGACATTTATTTCTCAGAAAGAATGTATTGTTCCTGTTGACTCTGTTAATCTCCAAATCTGGAATTACCTCATGAGGCTTTGTTGTGTTACAAAAGTGGATTATTTGTTTGGTGGAATACTGTCGTACAGAGAGGCTTTCTCCAAAAGTCACCGTAGCCAGGCCAGCAGAACATAGGTGGGAGAAGATAATCATGTTATGGGTGCTTGGGAAGGCCTAGGGTGTGGTGGCCACAAACCTTCCTCCTCTCGTAGCTCCCATACCTATCTGCTGAGTTTTCCATTAGCAAACCCACTTCAAAACAGGTACTGCTTAATGCTTAGATTTATTACATTTTTTTTTTTTTTTTTTTTCCTTTAAAAACTGCCATTATGCTGTGCAATCTCTAGCTGCTGGCAATCCTGCCTCTGTCACTGGGCTGACCAAAGCCTTCCTAGTAGCACTGGAAGCATCAGTTGCAAATGTGTCTGGAAGTGCCGCTTAATCACATTGTTCATCTTTTGGGGCAGCAGCAGGCAGTATAGCTTATACAAATGTGCTGGAAAGTTGGGGTTAACCATTAGGAGGCTCATGCTGAATGCAGGGAAAAAGGAGAAGGATAAGAGATGGAGTTGAGAAACTGTGCAAGGCTCTTGGGAGAACTCTGATTCAGCGAAATCTGGATTCCTCTGCCTCTGGCTTCAAGGCTGTCTGAGCTTCATAAAGTGGCTAAGTAGATATTTCATTTTAATTATGGCAAAAGTCTTAGACTTCATTAAGACGACTCATGCGTATAGAGTTGCCTGTGTGCTTGGCTGGGTTGTGAACACTCAGTAACACTATTTGACTACCATGTACTCCTGTTTGAAATTCCCAAATTGTGACTATCAGCACTGTGAATGACGATCACCTATTCTTGAGGCTGTGTCTCATGAGATTTTTGGCATTTTTAGATGTGGATGATGGGTTATGAAAAACCTGTTTCTGTTCATGTAGCATCACTGTGTGCAGCATACCCCTGTTGGTCCCCTGTGAGCATAGAACACTTGATCTGCTTTAGGTTTATTATCTGGCCCAGGAAGAAATGGAAACACCTCTAGGTTTTTGTTGTTACATATCACAGATTGGAGCAGTAAATGTGTTTGACTGATTGTCACATATAAAAATGAGTGGTTGATTCTGATGATGCTATATAAATTGACAAGACAAACGTATTATGAAAACTCAATTATATTTCTTAAAGTTTAAAATTATAGAATTATTAAGGTTGGCAAAGGCCACTGAGGTGGCCATCTAGTCCAGCCATCAACTCAACATCACCATGCCCACTCAACTGTGTCCCTCAGTGCCACGTCCTCACATTTGCTGAACATCTCCAATGACAGTGACTCCACCAACTCCCTGGGGAGCCCATTCCAGTGCCCAATCACTCCTTCCGAAAAGAAATTTTTCTTAATAGCCAATCTGAATTTCCCCTGCACAACTTGAGGCCATTACCTCATGTCCTACCAATAAAAGTTCCTCTGTTTTACCACTTCTTTCTGAATGGAACAGGGGCACTAAATGCCATGTAACTGCTGCCTTGACCCCAATATTCCAGGTGCACCATTGCTGTGTTAATACAAACGAGACCTTGCCTGTCATATGGCCACCACTTTCTCAGTGCTCTCTCCTCATTCCATTAATCAAGCACCGTGATGCTCCTGGATTGCGATAGGCAAGCTCCATTGAGAAATAATCACAACACACACATCGGAGGAGAGGATGAGGAAGTGAAATCAGACTGGCGTGCAGCAGAAAAAAATAAACCCTCGAGCAGATGGTGAGCATCAGTACACCGGGGCAGGGCCGAACTGAGACTGGGGGGAGGGCTCGGGCTTTCCCCGCTTGGCGCTGCAAGCTGCGGGAGGCACGCAGGGACGCGGTGCCCACACGCCCACGCCACGCGCGTGGACAGCCGCCACCCAGCGCCCGCGCACCGCCCCGCGCCGGTACACACGCGGAAGCACCGCCCCGGCCCGCCCCCGCCCGCTCGCTCTCTGCCCACACGCCGCCGCTCCGCACACGCAGCCCGCAGCCGCAGCGTGACTGCCTGACCCCGGCCGGATTATTCATCCCCCAGTCGGGAGGGGACGCAGGAAGCCGCCCGGAGATCCGCGGCGCGCGGGCGGAGAGGTGGTGGCGGCCGCGGCACAGCAGCATCGCAGCACCGCAGCGGGGGTCCCCAACCACTGCCGGTTGCCGGAGAAGCCCGGCCAGGTATAACGCGTCCCTGGTCCTTCCCCGGGCGGCATCGCAGGCCGCGGGGTGCTCCGGGGAGCAGCGCGAGGCTGGGGAGGCGGGCGGGTGCGCGCGGGGGGGGGGCGCCCCGCTGTGCCAGGTGCGGAGGTGATGCGGAGGGTATCGCCCCGGGGCGGCCCACCCGCGCCTCCGTGCCGAGTCCGTCGTCCTTCCCCGCTGCCGGGGCGGCTCCCAGCCGGAGGGAGGATCGGCGCTGCAGCAGCCCCGCGCCGAGCCCCGGGAGCGCTGGGGATTAACGAGGGCGGCGGAGAGGGGGCAGGCAACGGTGCGAACAGCTTTGTGGTGGGGCGGACGGGGCTCAGCGCCCGCAGGTGTCCACGGGAGGGGCCGGCGGCATGGCTGCGGGTCAGCGGGGACAGCGGGTCCTTTTCTCGTTCCTTTCGGGCGTTGCGTCTTGCTGTTTATTTATTGTTATTTACGAAGGGACGTGAGATGAACCCGTGGGGATGGTAGGAAGAGAAGTGCTTTCAGAAACGTGGGCGGCTTTGGCGCAGGGCTGGGTTGGGGGCAAGAGCCGAGGGCTCTGCCTGTGTTTTCCAAAAGCACATGGCACGTTCAGAAGGTGGAGCAGATGGTGGTGGTGCTGCTGCCTATTATGGACCGGGTTTGTGGAAATCCCGAGCTTCCTCTGGCTGAATGCTGCATGGTTTCTCCTGGGTGAAGGAGGTGACCTTTCACGTTTCTGCAAGGCAGAGAAAGTTGCGGCAAGTATTCTTTCTGAGGAACAGGGTGGGTCTGTTTTTCCACAGAGAAGAGAGCCCTCTGAGCTGCGCGTCTCCCTCTTGTCTTTGAGGCTGATGACAGTAAACGTCTCAGCATAAGATTGTAGTCTGCTTTATTTTCTGATTGCCCACCTTTATAGTTGAATGCAACTTGAAGGGAGACTCAACATCTCTTCTTATCCTTTTCTGTGCCAGATGTGTTTTTTCTCTCTGGTATGTATTGCACTTGAAGTGTTGAACTCTCGGGGGGCACGGAGGTGGGGATGTGAGGCGAGGTCTATGAGCTACTTCAAACAACTCTCCGTGCTCACACTTAAGAGGCAGAGAAGGGAACATGTTGTAAAAGCAGCTGAGGAATATATAAAAGTGAAATATTAATGAGCTAGAAAAGCTGAGATCGTAAGACATTGCACCTAATCATTTAGGAAGACTTGTGTATAGCTGCTCGATGTATGTGTGTAATACAAATGCAATTAGTATAAAAGGACAACAGGATTTGTATTTCTCTAGCTAGAAGTAATAATAATGTAAGAACCTTTTTTGCATTGGTGATTGTCTCTTGGGGCTTGTTTTACCCTCGATTTCTGAGGCTACCATAGAACTGTATTATTGCAGAAACAGTAAAAAAAAAAACAACAACAAAAAAAAGGTGTATTTCAAGAATGCTGTCTCAGAGATGGAACGCAAAAGGCTAACTCAGTCCTGAAATTGCCCAGAGGTTTAGCTTTAGAAAGCCCTCTAGGGGACGTGAAGTTGACTTTTCGCTCTGAGGTTGCTGATCTTCTGTGGTAAACCAAGCAGAGAACAACTCTGGAGAAGGTAGTGTGGCTGTCCAGACTATGTTGAAGTGTGTTGTGCCAACAACAAGGGAAGTTTTCTGCTTGGAGTTTATTTATCCACTGAAGTTAAGGGTACAATGGTATCTGTAGTGTTTTGGCTTGTCATCTTAACATGCGTTTCCAGCTTCTGGATTGCTTTGTACTTAAATAAGTCTATAGAACTGCTGAAGAACATAGCAGGCAAGCAGATCCTCTGCTCTTCCGAAGACTGTCTGAACTTCAGTAGCTCAGTATTTGGAAACAGAAAGAAGTAGAACAAGCGTCAATTTATGCTGTTTGTGTTTGCCTTGTAGTTCAGTTTTTGTTTGTTTTCTGAAAAGAATGCTGTGGTGTTGGTGGTGGTGTGGTTGTGTCATTTATTTATTTATTTGCTTTTCATTCTTAGAAAGAAGCAGATACAAATAGAAACTTCACCCAGCCCGCTGGGAAAGGTTGCTGACAAGAGCTGAGCTTAGTTTTCTTACTAATGGGGGCAGATCCATTTTCTTTTAGATGCTGAATTTTTGCAGCAGTTTCTCAGGCTGCTCATTGGGATGATTTAGTTGAGTAGGAAAGTGTTTTGTCAGACTATAGAATGCAGTCCTTGGCTGCGTGTCTTGTGGGACTTTTTGGAATAGTTTTGTACATCAGCTCATGCTCTCTTTGGGAGAGCTAGGTGTGGGCCTGAGCAGAGAGATGGACCTGGAGTCATACAAGATGACCTGAGACAATAGGTGGGTGTGCACCATGTCTGGGTCATGTGGAGAGAAAGCATTCAGTACTTAAGTTTGTGAGTCATTTAAAATGCTGACAAGGTGAAATTTTGTATCTGTGTCTCAGTGTGTGGTTGCACAAAAGCGCAGTTGTGCTGCTTACGCTGCATGCATACACTTAACGTTTCTCCTGATTCAAACCTAATGCCTCAAATATTTCTAGTAAATGACTGGACAGTAAACAACTTTAAAATACATTTGGGAGTGGTTTTGGTTGCTAGATGAATTGTTTTCTAAATTACAAGAGAGATGTCTTCTCCATCTGGCCTAATTCCTGCTCTTCCATGAAGATTCATGGAAAGTTGTCTATCAGGTTCCATGAAGGTTCATGGAAGACACCATGGCTTTGTTGGATGAGCCTGTCTGGAGTAGATGGAAGGTCGAAACTGCATGCAGTCTATATATGGTTTTCATGTGGGGTTATGAGAAAAACATGTTGTGAAAATAATCTTAATGGTAGATTTTGGAAATCATAAAAAATACCATGTTCTCAGAACATGGCATTTCCATGTGGTTTTAATTAGTGGTAGATTGAAACAGGTGAAGCACTGGATGAACTGGTGTTTTTCTATCGGTGCAAATATTCACGGAAAAGGAACTTCATGGACTTCAAGTCAAATTAATAGGCAGTGCATACTTTATTTTTAGAATAAGCATCAGCTCGTTAGGGGCAGGAGCTGAGCTGCATTCTCTATCATGCAGAAGTTAATGCTTGTTAGAGGATTCAGTGCCCCAGGTCTTCCACAGTGTAAGTAGTTTTGCTGAAACTGGAGGGTGGGGGGGGGAATAAAGAAACAAACCAGGGTCTACTTGCTGCTACATATGCATGCTTCCTGAAAAAATGTTTTTGCAGCTTCATTGGGTTGCTCTCTCATTATCTTTATTATTTTTTTTTTTTTTGGCCACTTTCTGTAATGACAGTAGGCAGTGTTACCTTGTTAAATGAAGTACATACACTTGAGTGTTAGGCTTTAGCTATTGCATTTGTTGGCTGTGTGGGATGCTGTGTAGAATACAGCTCCTGTAAGCACTTAAAATGCATGGCATGGCTTGTACCTGTAACATTTTGTGCGTATCCTTATGCTTCAGCAGGAGCCTGTAACTTTGGGGAGGAGCAGCCATCTATTTTACATGCAGTTGTACTGAAAGCCCATGCAGCTGTTCGCTACTTAACTGTCTGGTTATTGTTATTTACTGCTTTTTGTCTTCTGCATGGCGGAGTGTTACCACTTAGATGGTGTGAACTGCAGCTCTGTGACGGAGATACATAGTATGGTTTTTCATTGTGTAGCAACAAAATGTTAATGTTTCCTGCAGAGGTGACTGTTTCTGTCTGAAATACGATCTGTCCTATGAGGGATTGTTATTTTATGCTAAGGATAATTTACAGAAGGGTAGTATAAGCAAAAGGAAACCATGGGCGGGCAGTAATTGTCAAGGGGGGGAAAAAAGCACACATAACCAACAAACAAAACAACAAAAAAAAGCAGGAATGTACATTGTTGTCACTTGTACACATTCTGTATATCTTCATAAAAACAACTGTTTAAAAAAAGAAGACCTTGATTGCACTATTGGCAGGTAATAAAAGATTGGAATGATGATATTTCTGTATCAGTAATGTTTTACTTTTGTCTTACCAACTTAATGTATTAGTATGGTTGTTTTTTGATAATCTGTACGTGTGGAAACTGCCTGCAGGTGTGGTAGCAGGACTTCAGTATAAATCGTGCAGCTTTTTTTCCTTGAAGTTTCTTTACTACCAGTTAACTACTTCTCTCTAGGAGTAAAAGCTTTTCCAGCATTTTGGTTTGTTGCTGAGCGTGAGAGAAAGTAGTTCAATCACTCCTAGAATGTAATGACATTTTACATTATTTAAGGATATGCCACTTAATTTTTTATAATGTTCTAGCATATCAGGAATTTGAGATTCGGCACTCAGGAATGCTTCTGAGGGTCACTGCTGTCTTCCAGTGAGGTTAACCGGCTGTGACAGACTGGAAGAAAAAAAAAAAGCAAGCTTTTGGCCTCTAAATTTTTATAGTACAAATAATTGCGCCAGAGAATATATTGGCTCCCATGTGTTTTTAGCTTTGGTGTTCTTTTCTGGTGTGGCTTCTTTTACTCTTGTTCTTTTGGCTGCTTTTCTGCTCCTCCTTCATGATATGCCTTCTTGATGTGATCTTTTCAAATTTTATAGTGAAAAAACACTGATACACCAGTGTTAGAGGGACAGAAAAGGGATAATCTCAAGGTCCCTTCCAACCCAAGCCGTTCTAAGATATTCTGCTGTGGGGTTTGTTCTGATGTGAATAGTAGAATAACTGCCCTGCAAAAACTAAGATTGTTTATCATTTTTTTATTAATTGCCAGCATACTTGTTACCTTAGTCTGTACAAGAAAAAAATTAATTTTTTAAATTTGTGCAGGAATTAAGTGTGTGTACTGTAACAATGTAAGTGATAACAAGTTAATTTAATTTGCAGTATTCAGAAGCATTAATATACTGCTTCAGTAAGCAAGTTCTTCCACTAATATATTAATAATTTTCTCTTCATATTGCTGAAGGGAATTGACTGGTAGAAAATGCCAGTTCAGAAAATGATGTGGCTTTCTACATACTTACTTAGAGCAATGTGATGCTT